ATATATATATATATATATATATATATATATATATATATATATATATATATATATAATTAACAAATGGCAATTACCAGTCATACTCTGTACCAAAACCAGAGCCTAATTAGCAAATAAACTTGATGAATTTAGCCTTACACTACAGAAAATATTGATGTAGCTTGTGTGACTGAAAGTTGGCTTAAAGAGGACACACCAGATGAAATTATCTCAATTAATGACTATAGTGTGGTTCGTCGCAACAGACCAGGTCAGGGGTAATCGTAGAGAGGGGTGAGAAACGGCCAGTGTTCTCATCAGTGAGGCTAACCATTTTCAGGGTACGTACGCACAGACAGAAAACCATGGATTGGGGGAACGCTACTAATGTAGCCACTGGTAGTGCTAGTAGACATCAGTCTGTAGTCTTGAACAAGCACCTCAATGACCATTGAACAGTTGTCAAAAACAAAAGACCCAGGTGTGGTAGATTGACTGCTGTTCATGCGTGGCGCAAAGACCAAGCCTAATTGCCCATCAAGGTCACAAACCAATATCCTGTACTGATGGTTAGGCTCGTCTTTGTCACGATCAGTTGTTATCCCTTTAAATAAACAAATAAAAAGAGAAAAAAAATCATAAGATCATTATTTTATGAGAAATTCAAATTTTACTGCAGACTACAGAACCATTTGATGTTCAGACCTTTATCTTATTTGAAATATATCTTTGCACTTATATTAAGTATCATAATTGTTATTCAAAACAAATGAAGGATATTAGTTATGATACAAGAACTAATGTTAATTGGTGTCACAGATAATTTTCTGATTCTTATCATTACACACTGGATAGCCTTCAAATGAACATCTTTTAACACGTCTTACTTTAGGGTATTCTTTAAATTTTCCTTTACGTCATTTCTTACATCTTTACTTGCACTTATAAGCATTTCATCATCTGCAGATGAAAAAAAAATCTATTTTAAGTCTGTTACATGTATCAATAAACTTATTATTTATTGTAAAACACCCATTTCCTTTTCCTTGCACTTTATGCAATACAATTTTTTTCATTCCATTTGAAAATGAAACATTATTTTATCACAGCTAATTTAAAAAATATAAGTATCTGTCAGCGCTGAATTTACGTCTATGTATATACCTTGTTCTTTAAAATATACCTGAAAAACTACATATTAATCTTCAGTTTCTGAACATTTTAAAGTGCATGTCATTTTTTCAAATATCTGAATACTTTCACTTTCCCATGAAGTTCAGTCACAACCAGATCTTCATCCTGATTGATGGTACATCCCCATGGTTCATATAATCCATCAACGTCAGTTGCTATGTACTGGATGAACTTCCCATATGGGGATACAAGGTGTATGCAGTTGTTATCATAATCAGTGACCAGTATGTTGTCATATGCATCAACACAGACACCATAAGGTCGGCCTAACTGGTCATCAGGTCCTGTGTACTGATACAGTAGGTCACCAGATGGGGTTAGGATGTGAAGTTTCTTTTGTGTTACATCACTAACAACAAGGCACCCGTTCCTCATATATGCCACTTTATATGGTGCATTGAACAACTGTTTCCCATCTTTGTCCTTTATCACATCAGTTGAAGTTATTTTCCCTTTGATATCAATACTGAACGCACTCACAGACTTTTCATTATAACCCTGTGCCACAGCAATCTTAGTGCAGCTGTTATTGAAAGCCACACCCCTTGGGCTGTGAACATCTACAGTTTGCTGTGCTTCCCATTGTGGTGACAGGATGAACAGTTTGTTGTTGTCTGTATCAGATAGAACCATCCTTCCATCAGGGAAGTGACGGATCCCTACTGGACATGTCAGCTGTATATCTGAAACACTAGTGATCTCTTTTCTTAATGTACCATCTGAACTAAAAACCTTGACGTTGTTATGGATGCCATGGGTAGTAACATACTCCCTATTTGGACTCACTGAAATGTCCCCAGGTGTCAACCCAGTGTCAAACTCTAGCATACATTCAGCCTGTGGTTTGAACTTGGGCAAAGCTGGGTGTCTAGATATCTGCAAATTCCCCAGGCCAGCCCCACTGGATATCTCTTGGTCCAATTCTGTGTTGGTGGTGAGTGTGAGATTTAGTTCTTCGGGAATTTCGTCCACAGCTGAAGTGGACTGTAGCTCATCTAGTCTCTGTCCAAGTTGGTGTTGTAACATGAGGATATCTATGGGGGCACCATGCTGAAGGATGTTGTTTACTGCATCTGCTGTGGTTTTGATGGAGGAGCACGTGGCACTGCAGTTTTTGCGGGAAGCTTGTAAATTATTTCTGTGAGCACTCATGGTTTGATGAACCTCCTGTAGTAAGGTCTTCTCTCCTTGGTCTACGATTTGGTGTAGGTGAACTGCACGAGCTTTTATCTGCTGCTGAACAGAGTTTTCATTTTCTTGGAGGGTTTCCAGTGTTTCATCAATTGTAACTAATGTTTTCTCACCTGTTACTAATTTTCTCTCAATCCCATGAAATTTTGTCTGAAGTTTTGGTTTTACAATCTCTGCAGCTTTTTGAAGAGAGATATGTTTGTGACCATCATGGTGTAGATCTCTACAGTCACAACAAATGGGGATGTTGCAGTCTGAACAAAAATATCTTATCATCTCATGCTTGTGCTCTGGGCAGATAATCTTTTTCTGCTCTTGGATCTCTTTTTGATACGCGCTGCTGTAAAGCTGTTGAAAGGTGAGTACTCTGTGGTCTTTAGTGAGTCTGCTACCACAGTGGAAGGGAGAACACCTCTCACATAGGTAGTCATGACAGGTGATACATTTTGATGCTGCTACAGTTTCAGTTTGAAAAGACAAGGCACAAGTGCTGCACTTTTTCTTATGTGTTGACTGAAGTACAGTGTCCTGCAAACTTTCAATGTAGAAATTGTGAGCAAAGCCCTCAAGTCCATCTTCAGGAACTTCAGTTTCTTTCTGACACATGGGACATTGGAATTTACTTCCTGGTGTTAAATCAGAAATACAAGTCTTCAGACAACCTTTACAAAATGTATGCCTGCATGGTAAATCTGTCGGATCTTTGTGCTCCACAAGGCATAATGGACAGCTGTCAAAATGTTCAGTTATTTTGGCTCGTAAGCTTTCTTCGTCATCTCTGCTTGCTTGAGCTGTAGCCATCTTGGGGGTGTGGAGCAAACTGTTCTCTGTAGAGCAGAGTTATATCTTATCTATAAGCCAGTTGGATCTCTTTCAAGGCCAGGGTACTTTGTTTTTTTGCTTCAATGACATTTTTTTTAAATTAAGCATATCATTAGAGATTTGTATATTTTTTATATTTCTAAATATTTTGCTTGTATTTTAAGTACTCATACTTTGTGAGAAAATATGTAAGTTAATAAATGCTACTGAAGATATGATGAAAAATTATTTATATGTGTCACATGTAAAATTAAAATCTAGCCAGATTGCAATTGACACACACACACACACACACACACACACACACACACACACACACACAAACGCACCCATTTTATTATATTTATCTTTTACATGGCCTGATGGAGAAAACAAGAAATAAGTCTGTGTGTGCATATGTGCATGAATGTGCACACCCATTATTTAATAAATGTTCTCCCAAGCATGTAACTCTCACTCTCTTTCTCCTTGTGAGGAAAATGTTTAAGTTTTAACACCTACACAAATTGACCAAATTTACAATAGGGTATACAAATTCAGAATCCAGGAATTTTTTTAGTTGTCCTTCCAGGAGATGAGTAATGCATAACTGTCTTTTTTAATCATTTAATAATTAACTTCCACAGTATCAACATATAGGCACTCAGGACTGGTCTCAGGATGTCTGGAGCCTTATGACTCTGGTTTTTATCTACAAGATAACCCTATTGTTCTGAACAATAGTTTTATGTATCAATTGAGTGTTATTATCATAATCTGTGTAATATTCCAACAATTTCAGATCACTACAGGTAAAGAATAACGAAAATAGAACAGAAATAGAAGGATCTGGACATGTACCATTCACATTTTTGACTATATATATATACCTCCTTGTGAAAAAAGATATTGCATTCATGGAGGTCAATTCCTGCTGCATATCAATCCTTTCCAGTGAACCTTGTTTTAAAAAACGAAGTTTAAACTGGCACAGTGTAATTGTGTAATATCTTTTATTTTGCAATAAAATGATACGGTTCATTGGTTATCTTTGCAATTCATGTTTCATCTTGTCTGGGTAAAAAAAAGTTGAACAACAATATTTGGATCGATCTATCTCCCTGGGGAGTCTCACTAAATTGCTGTCAACTTGGCCGGCTTAAATGTCTGTCACGCCTAGTAAAGCAGCTAGGGGGTAATTATCTTTACCCCCTAGCCGATTTGGTAAGCGAGACTGACATTTAAGCCGATTAGTTGAAAACAATTTAGCGAGACTCCCCAGGGAGTTAGATCGATCCAGATGGATCGAACTATGTATGGGAACCCAGTCTAAGAAATCGGCAACTTGGGAGGGGAAGTTTGGCAGGGAGTCTGCTGCTTATCTTTGTTTAACTTGAACATTGAAGGAAGCTACGTCGTATAGTTAGAAAAAGCCTATTACAAGTTGAAGATTTAATACTACGTACTTGCACGGCATGTACATTAGCGATTTTTACTGCGGTGACAGTTAACTGTCCGGATAGCTTTTACCCGTATGCTTAGGCACTGCAAGAAGTTAACTTATAACTTCTTGGGCACCGGCAGTAGCTAGCTACATTCTTCTGTGGAACAGAGAGTAGGTAACAACAATTTCGATCTAACTGTTTATTTATTTATTTTTTATGAAAAAGAGAGGATCCAACCAGAGGGTGCACTACTGATAGCTTCACTTAGAAACAGCACAGTCCGACAGCATCGACAATCTTGTCTCTCATATCCAGCTGCCGAATTTTCAAGTCTCAAAACAAAACAAAACAAAAGAAAAAGAAAAAACGCTGTTTCTGATAAACCACGTGCCTGTCATATGAAGTGTAGCTTAACGTGTTTAATCGATGTTTAGTTACCCTCTACCACAGCCGCAGGTTAAAAGCACACTTTTCTCACAGCAGAAAAGGTGTCCTGAATTAACCAGAGACATATCTGTAAATATCTAGTGAAAGCCACTCTGTGGCCCTGGTGGTGGGTACCATAGGTTGTGGTGGTTCTTGGTTTTATCGACCACCTCTATCTGGTGCAGACGTACCTGAGCCGTTAGCCCTTTTTAGGTTACGTAATATAAATAAAGATCATGGTGTCGGATGAACAGGGCTGCAAGTTCGAGCAGTGATCTTCTCCAAAATGACATCGCTTAAAGACAAGGTTGTGATCATCACAGGTAAATATAACATGTTTTGCAGTACAGGGTCTGCGACTATGACAATATTGAATCGATCTGATATCCCTGGATGGCATAACATGACACAAGCTGGTGTATTCACTAGCACTAGCATTGGTATGCACGTTCAACTGGATGAATCTAAACATTTTTGGGATAAGATATAAGACAACGATAAGAACACTTTGGTCTCTTTTTTTCCAGGGGCTAGTTCAGGTATTGGTCAAGGTACAGCAATCCACATGGCAAGCCTGGGCTGTAAGCTGACCATAAGTGGACGAAAGATATGGACAACTTGCAGAAAACGTCTCAGATGTGTGAAGAACAGGGCTTGGCTAAGGAGAAGGTTTAACCTAGATATAAAATTGAATTATAAAAGGCCCCTACGGTACCATACAGTCTGACAATCTTCTCAATAAATGTATCACATCAAGAATGCATATAAAACTGTTAAGACGAAAACGTACAAGTTCAACAAAACATTAAATGTAACCTGGTATATAAAAATGCTGTTTATTAAATGCTAAGATTATAAGAAAACATTGCGATTATGGAATATAAAGGTAAAAATGGGGTAATAACCTTTGGCATTATGTACATTATCGGCTTCTGCACGATTATGCAGGTTCAGTTGCCTATATAAAAACTAACCCTTTTATTTCTTCAGATCCTAATGGTTGGAGGAGATGTTACAGATGATGCAGCAATGAGAGAGCTGGTGGAGAAAACAATTGATTATTATGGACAGCTTGACGTACTGGCACCCTGAGCTTCAGAGATAACTTGCCACTAACCTCTTCACTATAGCCTATAGTTATATTATATCTTCATCGTGTCAAGTTACTTGACACGATGAAGATAGGCTATAGTGAAGAGGTTAGTGGCAAGTTATCTCTGAAGCTCAGGGTGCGTACTGGTAAATAAAGGCGTGACCTAGCCTAGATGTAGTGGTAGCGTGCTGCAGTGCACGTGCATTTTGTGTGAGATAATGTACTGTCTCCCAAGCGATGTAGGCCAGACTGTGAGAGATGTACGTGAGAGGCATACGTTGCGAGAGGGTGGCATTGTATTGTTTGAGATATATTCCGAAAAACACTCCCAATCCAAATAAAGCGTATCGCCAAGGTCACATAAAGCACCTCTGTCATGACATCCTTTCAGCCTTTTGTATCACAATCGGCAGGTACAAAGCAAGAAAATTGAAAAGAAAAACATCCAATAAATCCCACTACACTGTTTCTGTTTTTATGTAGAGATTCAGGAAACTATTTTACAGTTAACATACAGGCTAAGTCTGTTTAAGTTAACCTACCCGCACGAAAACGCAGTAGATACTCCAGCGCAGTAGACTACTGCAATCTTACTGCAAACATATACTCCAACGCAGTAGACTACTGCAATCATTTCTACTGGAAATATGCTCCACACCACTACTGTACTAATGCTTCTTTGCTATTTCGATACTACTGCATTTTTGTGTGGGTAGTTACACGATTCCGTAATAAAAGGAAGAAATCTCCAAACATATATATATATATATATATATGGTAGAGAAGCATATTTTTATATTATTAAATTTATTTGATGTAAACTTAGCGATAATGTCTTTTGAGAATCAGATGAATTGAAAAATCCTATGCTAATGTGTTGGACATATGTTTATCACCCCTCCCCCTAGCTGTTTTCAATAGCGATACTTTCACTTAAGGTGAACTGTGCAGGTGTTTTGATGTATGATACTTGTGAGAGTATCAAGATAGAAGACTACGACAACCTAATGAATATCAACTGCAGATCGGTAGTATATCTGTGCAATTTAGCTATACCCCATCTTATCAAAACTAAAGGTAAGAAGACAACTCTTTTTGCCTTGTTCAATATATTGTAAAAGATTTCAGGGTCACAATTAAAGTGTTACAACTTTTAAGCTTAACTTCTTCATCAATTCTAAAATAAAATTATAAAATAAGAAAATAGGCCTAATAGTCATGTTCGTAAAGGAGAGCCGTTTTTCAAGTTGCACCACCTGATACTTGGGTCTACATGACCCATACATTGAAAGTGAAAAATATGTATTTTGAATTTTTGTAGGATGCATTGTGAATGTGCCCAGTGTCTGTGGCCTGAGGGCTGTAAGTAGAAAGAATTACTAAAATAAACAGAAAATAAACAGTTTCTTATGAAAATGAAATAAATGTGTTGGCACGTAACTGACTGTGGTTTTTATTCATATGGCATTAAAATGTGAAATATAACCTTTTACACATACATTTCATATGCCTGATGAAAGCTGACTTGACATAACTTTAGATGAAAAGGTGAAAAGTGAAAACAATCTGAAAGAAAGAGATTACATCTGTATCTTAAGAAAACTAATAATTTGTTGGAGTTAGCTATACTTCCCTCATAATATGTGCCAAAATTATGATTGCACGTATTCTGTATATTATCTTAACTTCAGTTTCCTCAGGTCATGTCTTACTGTATGTCCAAAGCTGCACTAGACCAATACACCAGGTGTGCTGCCCTGGGTAAGATAATATACCATATACAATAGTGAACAATGTACAGAAAAAAGCCAAGATTTAAGTTATTTAAGCAGTCAAGAAGTGGGGTGTGGGAGGCAAATAGTTATAAGAGAAGATTCAAGTTCCAGTGTAATCATAATGATGATGATGACGATGATAAAAATAATTGGAGCTGTGCAATTTAATACATATTAATTTGATAAATATTAATGGGAAGGGCGGGTGGGTAAATCTGGTGCAAATTCGGATGAGAAAACCATTCAGTTGGCAGAGCGTAGCGTGAACTAGTGGTTTTAACTGAGAAAGCTGCAGGCCACAAGATATCCAGACATCAGTTGCTAGTTCGGGTGGCTGGTGCTTCATAAATTATGTATCAAATTTTACACAAATATTAATACCAAATTCTGCATGAATAATTGTACCAAATTGATCTGGGTTAATCTGATCATGCACGGTTATTGAGGAAATACAGTTCAAGTTCCATCGCACTGTAAAATGGCAGATTTTCAAGATCACACAAAAGATGATTGAGAGAAAATATGTAAAAGCGTGATCATTTTGGAGAGATAGAGTATTAATACCCTTGCATTTGCATGAAAATAAGATACTGTGAATAAACGTTTGAAAATCTAACTCGTCGTCGCCAATGTATAACGTTATTATCATTATTATTACAGAGCTGGCACCTAAGCAAGTGAGGGTAAATGCAGTAAAGTAAGTCTGTTTTATCTTTAATTATCCACAAGCTATATATATATATATATATATATATATATATATATATATATATATATATATATATTACTTTTTTCATCAGGAAATTCGGAAGGCAAACAGGATTCCAATTTGTTTATTAGCTTTTATGGAAAATGTGTGTTATTCAGTGTATTATAATACTTAAAATGATAATTTTAGTCCTGGCGTCATCGAGACAGTGATTTTGAAACGAGCTGGGATGAGTGAAGGAGAGTATATGCTCAGGTAATTTTGTGTCAGTAAATGTATTTAGTGTATTGGGAATACAAATAAGATATTACAGCCAGTTTGTAATATTTCTCAATTTCCGTGAATACGTTTCCTTGTGTTACGTTTTGTCAGATTTACATCATCCATGGTAGTTATATTGCCTATGTATTGTTATGTTCATGATCATCGATGGTAAGTTATGCACTTTTATTATTTTATTTTATTAGAAAAAAAGAGGTGCTTTATATAACCTTTTAAATATAGTACCTAATATGAGTATTTGTCAATTTCAATGCCTCTGCTTCAAGATGATGCTTTATTTCCCCCAGTTTGTTAAGCATAGCAAAACCACCCATGCCTTGGGACGACCTGGGACAGTGGATGAAGTGGCCAAATGCATCAGTTTCCTGGCTTCCGACGACTCCTCGTTTATAACTGGAGCTACTTTATCTGTGGATGGTGGAAGACAGGCCATGTGCGCAAGATAATACAAGATCAAGAAAAAATGACTAATAAAAAACTGGAACTTTCGTTTTATTTATTTGTTTTTCTGCTTAATTATATTAATTTTGTTTTTTAGGGAAATGATTTTACCAAGAAAGCTTCATAAGTACACTTGGGATGGTTTTAATAATAAAAAGAAGCACCCAAATTCTATGGACGAGATTTCCGTGGCATGCGAATCGACCTGAAGTTAGGGTCAGGTCTATTCTTTAAAAAAAAAGCTACTAAGGCACTTTTTGACGTTTTCATTTTTTCCTTCTCTGAATCTAAGATAAATTATCTGTTCGTCTTTGGATGTTTTGTGTACGAAACATTTAATTAAAATACAACAGAAAATATACCACAAACAAGTATCTGTACATTTCATTCACGAGCTTCTCTCATGTATCAGTATGATTGGTTGATGAATATTGAAACTTTCTTTCTCCTGACATAATAAACAAAATCAAAATCTTACCAGCCTCCGTCTCGATCCATTACGGAAGTGGCCGATGGGTCTGCCACTGAAGAGTGGTCCCCTTCTCCGTGGGCGCTTAATTTTCAAAGATTTATATTACATGTTTGCTTATTGCCAGTGTGTAGGTGTCTGAATATCGTTTTCTCCAGAGAAGTTACCTAATTAGCTAAAGTTATCAAAGACAAATCTTATAAAATGACAATATATTTATAGTTTGACCTTTTCCAGGGGGTAGTTCAGGTATTGGTGAAGGCACAGCCATCCACATGCAGTGGTGGATGTAGTCCTGACCACCCCCCCCTTCAGTTTCTGAAAAAAATTACACTAATATTCCCCTCTTGGAATTAGAATTTTGACTAGCTGATTTATAGTTCTAAACTGTACCAAATGGCACCGTTTGCCCTCTAAAATACCAACATTTTCGGGGCCCTCCACCATTCAAATAATTCCGGATTCACCCCCGCAGCTATCAACTCTGTTTAAAGTCCATTTAATCGCTACAATAATTGCAAAAATTCTGATTTTCTTAAAAAGGCTTACTTCTGATTTTCAGTAGAGGCAAAATGATGCTAAAATACATGTATGTTGTTTCTGCTTCATGTCTGAACATTAGACAAATTTGCTGCCTTGTTTTTCCTTCTCTGTCCAGGTGCATAACCGATCCATAACCGTTACATGAATATATGTACACTCTAAAGTAAATGAACGCACCGACACGTAGCATATATTCTATTTTCCGTCGCTGTGTTCTAATAAGGAATACCTTGTGTTCTCGTCAGAATACATTTCTGTTCTCATCAGAATACTTGGCGTTCTTTAGTGTTCATTTTGAGAACGTGTGATGTTTATATCCACAGTGGTATAATTTCGTTATAGGCTCCATGTAAGAAAATGTTTTTTTATAGTGTGCTGAAATGTTTTAGGGCATTCAATGTTTTGGAATTGACTGCCGTCCCCTCGTAGTTAGCAACTACGGCGATTTACAGCGTCATACGGTACTCTGGCATAATTGAATCAATGTTTATTGAAATGTACCGAAAATGGCCCTGTTCAATGGAAATTATTAAAAATAAAAGTGATTCAAAAATATCTGGTGTAATGTTAACCCATTTGAAAATTGTTTCTTCTTGATAAAGTTTAACACACCAAGTCAGTGTTCCAAATCAGAACACAACGTTCTGATCTCCGACACATTCTAGAACACGAACATTAGTACATCGTTTCACCGCAAGGTGAACCATGTGCACCATTCTTACATGAGCAGTTTTACCTCCGATTCTTGTCTGCTGCAACGGCGTGCGGTTTAGTCAAACTGAAAGTAATTCGTCTTTTTGTAAAACTTTCTGAACGAAGTGATTACTGTTTGGGTGGATTTTGTTCTGGACATTACAGGGATTTGTAGTGTTAGGGTTTACAGTAGTGTAGGCACTCCATATTCCACACCTTTTCACCATGTCAGGTAATTTCAAGTGCAATCTATGAAATAGATAGACCCCGAGTCAGCGAGGGTTATGTTGGTTATGTGGATGTCACATAACCCCCGCTGACGAGGGCTCTATTTTTATTTAGACTACGGTCCATGAACGGGTTATATAACGCATTCACGCGAGACGTGCGGTTATGCGAGTTTCACCACGTCTGGGTTTTTTGTTCTTCACTTCCACCGTGGTCTAAGGTATAGGTAAAGTACGAGGCGCTGAGCTTTACGAGAAATAGAGCAGATAATTGGCGAGGCGAAGCCGAGACAATTATCTGCTCTAGTTCTCGTAAAGCTCAGCGCCGAGTGCTTTATCTGGCTTAAAGCACGAGTAATTAACCCTGTGCACTGGTGCGTGGAACGCATTCGTGGATGACGTGACTTTACACGAAATAAAGCACAGCGCGACCTATTGTCTTTTGACAGGAGAGTGCTTTAAGTGAAATTGCCAATCACAGTTATCAACTTTTTAGCAAACATTTTATTCGCAACCATGAACATGACTAAAAATTTGCAGTGGCTTGTTGTATTGGTGCATGTGCCTACACCACAAAAAATTGGCAGTGTTATAATATACATGTTAGGAGGAAACATCATGAAATGATTCATCAGGTCTCAAGGCATAAGCATAGTCTTGGAGCAGGATGTGACTTGTTGTAATCCTTCAGCCTGGCCCTACATCCCATGAGCCTTTCAAGACTGATGAGACTATTTTGCTGAATGTGGATAAAGGTATATACATGCTTACATAATACAGTAAAACTTCCTTCAGTTCTCGAAAGTCTGCTTTTTTGCACACAGGAATGCCATACTACATTTTGGCTAGAAATTATTTTTAAAAGTAATGACGAATAAAATTTTGGTTTCTATTAAAAATGTCAAAAGCATTGTTTTCCTGTATGTAATGATGACTCAATTGATCTGTGTTGGTAAATTCTGTACATTTCATTAAAAGTTCATGCACCTCTTTGGACATATATCAGTCATTTTATTTCAGTCCTTTTCCACTACTGTACTAATGTTTCATGCAGTTACTTTTTTTATTCGTAAATTTAATTAGCTTCAGATAAAATCTCTGAAGAAATTGTAATGTCACCACTTTCTCCATTCAGTGATTTGGTCAAGTCCACCTCGGTGTCAATGGGACCCCTGCAAGGGCGTGGTCTTTATGATCACAGAAGTGGCCTCCTTTTGCTACAACATATTGTCAACAATTGGGGACCAGGCCCCGTATCTCGAAAGGTTCGCCATGTTGCGCACGTGCGCTTGCAAGCGTCTCGATTCCATAACCGATTCTATTTCGAGATACGGGGCCATCGAATCGAGACACTTGCGCACACCTTGAAAACGGGTAGTGTGGTCCGATATACCAGTGAATTCAGGATCCTTATGTGCTGAGTCTGGTAGTTGGGTAGGCCTGTATTTTATTGTCTCTATGGGGGTATATGGGGACTTTACGACATTCGGTTTGAATGTTTTAACCACTTTTGATAGGGCTTTTTTTGCATTGTATTAGATTAATGTGGCAGTCTAAGGTTCATCTAGGTGGCTTTCAAAAGTGGTTTTAAAATCATATAGCGATTTTAAGACAATCGTTTACTATCCAATCAAGGTGACAGCCGAGCGTGGGCTCATCCTGTCTGTGTTCTGACTGATACTCCGAAATGCGATCTGACACACACACCTTGAAAACGGGTAGTGTGGTCCGATATACCGGTTAATTCAGGATCCTTAGTGCTGAGTCTGGTAGTTGGGTAGGCCTGACCTACCACATCAGCATTGAAAAAGATGAAGACATACATGAACTAACCAGTAGTTGAGCAACATGTAGAAAGTCCTGCAGACTGCTTGGACTTAGAAAAATTGGAAGCATGTAAGGGCGTTGCTGCGGAGCACACGACCACACCAAATGGCACTCCTAAGTGAGGATGATATGGGACTTGGTATTGAAACGACATTAACGAAGTATCCATGCTTCAAAGAAAACACTTATGTAAGTTTTTTTAAGCTGCTCATAGCTTGTTTTGGACATGTCAAAATCCAGTGTCAAATTGAAGCTTTTTATATACTTACTCAAGTTACTTAAAGAAATCTTTTAGATTACAGTGTCAAAATAAAGAACTTGCTGCCAAATTTGTATGCCGGGTCTCGTAAAAAGTGTTCTGAAATATATGTAATTGTGTTCTAAAACACAAACACAAAAAAGAACATAAAAATGTGTTCTATATTTCACAACGCTTACTGTTCTAGCGTCAGAACACTGTTTAAAGCGTTCTCAAAATGTAACATTTAAACAAGTAAAAAGTGTTCTGAATTTACATGTACATGGAAATGTGTTCTGAACAAAACACAAAAAAGAACATAAAAATCACGGGTGGATCCAGAGATATTTTCTGACAGTCTTCCAAATTATCTTTGTTGATCCATTTTCCATTTTTGACCGTCTTCCGACAGAAAACACTAGATGGCTGACAATGTAAACTGAAAATCTGACCGAAAATTTATACACCAGAAGACCCAGAAGACGGCCTAGATCCGTGTTCTATATTTCACAACGCTTACTGTTCTAGTGCCAGAACACTGTTTAAAGCGTTCTCAAACTGTAACATTTGCACACTTAAAATGTGTTCTGTTTCATGTTTACGAACTTTAGAGTGTAGGAGAAAGGAAATGACCAGGTGCGAAAATCGTCATAGTGGCTTATTAAATCTAATTGCAAGGTCACCTTTTTGTGAAAAATGAATTATTGCAAAATCATGTAAGTCGATTTAACTTGCATGAATTTTTTTTTTATAACAACGTTTATTCGAAAGAAATGGAGGCAAAGCGCTGGAAGCATTAAATGCTCTCCACAAAAAATTTATACACCTATGGAAGAAAACTTCTAAAATGACACTTCAAAAGTGTAATTTAAAAAGACAAGAAAGTGCAAATGACATTCAACAGTGTTTAATCAAAAGTAAAGGAAACATACATTTGAATAATAAAGAATCTAATAATAATCTAACTTATTAGTTTCAGAAGGAAACAAAACATGTTCTTGGTTTTTTACATCGTTGAAATAAAAACTTAATATATAAGAAATATATAACAATGATAATCAGTATATTTAAATCCACAGAGGATTACTCAGGCAAATAACAGGTATCCAATATAATAACGCCTGTGGCTTAAAGAGCCACTCCATGGTATTTTCCTGTCAAAATGAATTTCT